TTACTGCCGACATTTGCGAAGCAGCTATAAAATCGGACCCGACAAATTTTCTGGCCATGGCCAATAAACGCCTCAGTCTGGTGTACTTTCCCAAAAGGTGGAAAGAGGCGGTAGTAGTAGTGCTGCGAAAGCCTGGTAAAAAGGACTACACACATCCCAAATCTTACAGACCTATTGGGCTGCTACCTGTACTCGGAAAAATATTTGAAAAGATGCTAATCTATAGAATTAAATGGTACATTGTACCCAAAATTAGCCACACACAATATGGGTTCATGCCACAGCGTAGCACCGAGGACTCCCTCTATGACATGATGCAGCTTATAAAAGCTAAGATTAAAGATAAAAAAGTTAATTGTATTAATATCCTTGGACATAGAGGGAGCCTTCGACAACGCTTGGTGGCCGGCCATAAAGTGGAGATTAGCAGAGACTAGGTGCCCGATAAATCTAAGACGCCTCGCCGACAATTATTTCGAGGACAGGACAGTCCGCGTCAGATATGCAGGAGCAGAGTGGTTGAAATGGACTGCAAAGGGATGTGTGCAAGAATCAATAGGGGGTCCCATATTCTGGAATTTGTTGCTCGACCCGCTATTGAAGGAACTAAGCGACAGAGGGGTATATTGCCAGCCTTTCGCAGACGATGTGGTCCTGATTTTCTCCGGGGACAGGGCACTGGAAGTACAAGACCGGGCCAATGTGGTCCTCGCACACGTTCAGAAGTGGGGAGTCAGAAACAAGCTTAGATTCGCACCACAGAAAACAAAAGCTATGGTGATCACAAACAAAATAAAGTATGACTCACCACTTCTGGAAATGGGCGGGGAGAATATTGTGTTGTCCAGGGAAATAAAAATACTTGGACTTACGATAGACGATAGATTGACCTTCAGCACGCATGTAAAAAATGTGTGTTGTAAGGTACAAAATCTATATAGCCAACTTACAAGAACCGCAAAGATAAACTGGGGCCTGAACCCGGATATCATTAGGACCATTTACATTGCAGTAACGGAGCCGATAATCATGTACGCGGCTAGTGTATGGGCATCGGCAACACACAAAAAGAAAATTAAAAAGCAGCTCGACATGGCTCAACGCGGGTTTGTTCAAAAAATTATTAAGTCTTACAAAACCGTATCCCTCCACTCGGCCCTACTACTCGCTGGATTGCTTCCATTGGACATTAGAGTTCGGGAAGTAGCCTCTCTTTATGAAATAAAGAGAGGTTTCTCTCAGCGAGTGGTAGGAGATCGAGAAATGGAACGGAAAATAGATTATACAAAGACACCTCACCCCGCGAATCAAGCTGGGCTGCAATTCACATGCCTGGAGGATGGTGCACAAGTCGACCTAAATGACAATAAAGGCTTAAAAATGTATACCGACGGAAGTAAAATCGAGGGAAAAGTCGGCGCTTCGTTATCTGTATGGAATGACGCAGCGGAAATAAATACCCGAAAATTAAAATTGGAAGACTTTTGCACCGTCTACCAGGCAGAGTTGCTGGCCATATTTGAGGCGACAAACTACGCGCTTAGAAACTCGGCAATGAGCTGCAATGTTTACAGTGATTCAAGATCAGCACTGCAGACAATTGTCCAGAACTTTTCCCTCCATCCCATAGCTGCAAATATAAGAAAAAAACATCTCAAAAATACAACAACAAGGAAAATCAATCAAACTGTTCTGGGTAAAAGCACATGCAGGATTGGAGGGGAACGAGAGGGCAGATGTATTAGTGAAGCAAGCCGCCTTAAAAATAAAAAGAAAAGCCGATTATGAGAAGTGTCCAATTTCATTCGTCAAACGACAGATCCGTCTCGACTCACTTGATGAATGGAATCTGCGCTATGTTGAAGGCGAAACGGCCTCTATAACCAAAATATATTTCCCCAATGCAATAAGTGCCTATCCCATAATAAGGAAATTAAATATGGATCCGTTAACGGTACAAGTGATGACAGGACATGGTGGGTTCTCTGAATACTTACATAGGTTCAAGTGCAAGGAGAGTCCATCATGTACCTGTGATCCAACGATCGAGGAAAATGTGCTGCACATCATAACCGAATGTCCTGTTTATAGCAGAGAAAGAATAAATGTCGAAATAGAACTAGAAATTAAAATAGAAAAAGATAACATATGTAAAATAATAGGAAATAAATATATGAGAAATAGGTTCTTAAACTATTGTAGAGATATAGCAAATAAAGTAGTAAATAAAAATAAATTAAAGTAGTAATAAGGAAATTGTAACTTATATATTCGTATATAGGATAAACAGCTCCGCTAAATTAGTATAAAATTAGATTAAGATATAGCAACAAATATAATGTAACGATAATATTAGGTATAAATAAATAAGAAAAAAGAACCGAATGTAAACTAATAATAAAAAGTAAAAAGAAATAAGTAAAAAAATTAATAACAAAAACACAGAAAAGAAAAAATTGAACGAGAGATAAAAAGAAAAAGACAGAAAAAAAGTCCCTGATCTCTATGTTAGGGGAACTAGATTTAAAAAAAAAAAAAACCTAACCTAACCTAACCTTTTTTTTTAACATGGGGAAATGCCTACGCATACCCGCCTCGCGGGGGCAAGGACGGGTTATGTCGGACTCGCACCGACTAAAACCCCATGGTGTTCTACCTTCGTTGCATATTAGCAGGGCTACGGGAATGCTTTCGCACACTTCCGCGGCCCTACCAGCGACTGCCGCCCCATGGCAGCACCTCCTCGGGAGAGGAATATTCCTCCCCGTTCTCCTTCCCAGGTAAGGCGCACCAGAACACATGGCACGCCTTCCTCCACGGCCTCCAATTGCGTCTGCGCAACAGACGCCCCCCGCGTCCGATGCGCGAAGGCCATGGGGCCAGGAAAAACGAGCACTTAGAAGTACTAGCCTTCCCGACCCCAGCGGCGGATCTGGTCTATGGCTCCGCCGCCAACCAAGATTTGGCTGCGGAGGATAGGGAGAGCGGCGCCTCGCAAATACCGACAATCCTCTCCCACCGCAGCCCCATCACCACCGCATCAACGGTGCGGCCCCGTTTGAGTCGCGGAGGATAGGGCGAGTGGCGCATCGCCATACCAACACTCCTCTTCCTCCGCGACTCCACCTCGGCTGCAGCGGTAGAGGGTGCGGAGTCCCCACTCGCTGCAGTCTACCAGCACACATCCGAAGTGGGCTCCCCAAGCCCACTCGAAGTGGCCACCTCAGGCCGGCCCTTCACCTCGGGCGAGCCACGTGGGTTCCTCTTTGTTCACCGTGGGAGACCAAGCCACGGCTACTAAGCCCCCCCCCCGCCACGACAAGGCGGGAACCCGTTCGGGGGGAACCTAACCTAACCTAACCATGTATTCCGCCGTCCCCCGTGCTGTACGCATCGTTTCCGTGTCGCTCCGTACCTAAAAAATCAGTAAATTGGGTAATAGTGCTCCGATTTTTGTGCAACAAGTAGTGTTGGGTGTATTTTTGTACCATATAACTAGTGAATGCAGTGTTCTCAGTGATAAGTGCCCCAATTTTGTAGGAAATCTGGAAATCCTGGAGCAGAAAACGCATCAAGGTGAAATTTTATCGTAAAATTTTACTTATATTTGCGTACGCCGCGACTTTCAGATCGATAACCTACATTTTTTATTTGTGCACTGTATGCTGCTTTTTTTGCTTTACAATTTGACACCTTTTTCAGATTTTTCTGGTAAATAGTTTAGAAACTATCAAAGAAAATCTGAAAAACCACGTGGCAACGAAAATCTAAACCAAGATCGTGCGGCTATTTCTGAGGAGCAATTCTAATAACCTGCTATAATCTTAATATTTCAAAGTTTGTTGCAACAGAATCGGTGCACTATTCTAAAAGTAATAAGTGTAAACATTGGTTTTAAAAAGTTTCTTATATTTTACCTTCTTATAATTCTAAAAATAAAGCGATAGCATATAGTTTTCATAATATTAATTTATGGATTTTTCATTGTGTAAGCTATAGTTAAAATTTCAGATTTTTTTCGCTCGATAATTTTCGAGAAATTTACTTTTTATGAGAATACTCTTCCACGTGCTCCACCTTCCAATTACTTGGGGTTAAAAGTATTTGCGTGGAACGTTAGAGTTTAAATCATTCGTCAGTATCCAGTTTTCGGATTGAAAAAATCTCTTACCGTTTAAAAGTTATATGAATTTTTGTGTTTTTTCTGGATAACTCTTTCCTGAAAAGTTTTTCAGCGCTGAAAACATTTTCTAAGGTTAGCCCTTGTTACAACCTTTTAAAAGAGCCCAAACACGACCCTTTTACGTGGCTCTGTCGCTGAATAATCCAAATTTTATAATTTTACTCCATTTGTCGGCCATATTGAAAATTTTTAAAATTCCATATCTCCGGAACAGCGTACAGTAGAAAGTTGGGGTTTTCAATATACATCTTGGAGTACTCTGGAGAATCTGTCTGAATCAATTCCCAATCTTGTAAATTTGGTCCCAATCCAAGGTCACCGACAGATAAACGATCGTAAGCCAAACCGAATAAGCCCAAACTCGACATTTTGAGACATATAGATCCCAAGTTATCGGAATTTATAAATTTTGTAGCCATATTTTTCCGCCATCTTGGAAAACTTTGAACTAATATAACTCCTGAACGGCTCATCGTATCAAAACGCGGTTTTCACTATATATATCCTCTCTACGTTCTCTATTACAATAAGTTAAGTTTAAATAGGGGGAGGCGATTACAGATAGAGTCGACTCTACCATTGATAGAAAAGAGATTCATAGGTCGAAACATCATGTCTGAAAAATTAAAGAGATCGATAGCGAGTTCCTCAGACAAACAAATAATATCCAAGAAGAAAGGCAATATTTCTTCCACCAAGGCTAGTAAAGAACCTTCTGGAACTATAACTAGTGGGGGGAGCGAGCGTATCTGAATCAGGAGCTCACACGACTGCGGGATTCCCCACGCAGACGCCGGCACAACCTGGTAACCAGGTATTGCCAGCCTTCATCTCGGAAGAAACTCCAACTCCAGAAGCAGCTAGCCCATTGCCTAAGCTTGATGAGGCCATTACGTCTTCTCCTGTGCTTAATAGAACAGAATCAAGTCTGCTCCGCATCAAAACGCAGATACGCCAGGCAAAATCAGTAGAAGTCCAAGAGGCTGCAAGAAGACTGTCTGAGGCGGAAGATCCTCTTGACTCCGATTGCGATAGTAAAGACACCAATACTTCTCTAGACGCTGTCCTTAAACTTTCAGACTCAAGGATGCTGCATATGCTCGAAGCTAATAAGCAGAAACTTAATGTCTCACGAGAGTCAGAGAGGCTAACCCAGAGACATGCTAGGTTCATGCATGAGACTCTGGGTCAATATGCTTTACTAAAGAATCTCATAGAAAAACTACAAAAAGAAACGGAATCAATGAGAATGATTCTGTCGTACGACTTATGTACTGCGGTAACAGAAACTAAACGTGAGGTTACTACGGTCAAACAGGATATATCAATGTCTAGCTCCGTAACCAACCAGCTAAAGATATTGTTGGAAGAACTATGAACTTTCCGTGAAAGTCTAGAACCTCAGCGCTACTCCACAACAAAAGAACCCGCCATCTCTCTTCATTTTGCTGAAGACTTACATGAAATACGCAGTATATTACATGAGATAAAATCTCTCAGGGATGAACAATGTAACCAGAAGGTCCGGGAATCAACGGAACAAGAAATGGATCTTGACGCCTGTGTTCGAGGTGTCTCTCAGGAGCTGCGACAATATGTCTTAGAAATGAAATCGCAGCTTCAGGAAGACATAATTGACCTTCGAAATCAAGTATCCAAAATCACTGAGAACTCAACAAATACTAATAGGAACCCTGTAGACTCCCTAATTACTTCGGTACAAGCCAGCATAGAGGAACTCCAAAGAGAAACTAGGGAGCTGTAGGACACAACTGTGGAATCAGCCGCTCCCATCCGAATGGCTATAGAGGGACTACGCAACGAAGTAAGATGGCATCCAGCCAAAGAAAGACCCCTTAATGATGAGGATGAGCAAATTCATCATTCACCAAGACAATACAGAAGCGTCCAGGCTTACAAAAAAGTGCACGATCACGCTAACAAGTCCTCCCGCTCTTACTCAGAGGCAAGACCTAACTACTCAATTATGATAGAGTCAGCCGATCCTATTAATACGAGTGATGACATAATAAAAAAAGTTAAAAACGGAATTGACATAATTGAGTTAGGTATAGGAGTGAACCATATTAAAAAATGTAAGCAACAAAAGGTTCTTATAAGCTGCGAGTCTGAGAGTGACAGACAAGTTCTGCAAGAAAAACTCAGAAGCAGTTCTGATAAATTAACCGTACAAAGACTTGCTACTAAAAATCCTTTGTTACGGTTAATAGGGGTTGTTAATGACTAAACGATAAGAAAATTGAAGAGGCTGTTATCAAACAGAATGGCTCCTTGCTAAGAGAAATACCGAGCTCACAAATATATGTCAAAGTCACAAGAAGGGTAAAAGGTCGCACTAGCTCTACAAATAATATAATCTTGGAGACAAGTCCACAAGTATGGTGCAAACTTAAAGACCAAAGACTAAGACTTGGCTTCCAAATCGTTCCAGCTCTCGACCAATCTCCTCTGGTACAGTGTTACCGATGCCTTGGATTCTCTCATCGTGCAAATGAATACAGATCAGAGAAGGCGTTTTGTGGCTATTGTGCAGAATATCATGACACAAGAGAGTGTCACAATAGAAATGCAGCCCCAAAATGCATAAACCGCAGCAATAAAAGTTTAAACCACCAAGAATGCATTCATCCAGCTTACAGCTCAGAATGTCCTGAGTGGAAAAGGTGGGATAGAATTGTTAGATCCTTAACATCATACTGCTAAGGGCCACAATGCGTTTCCAAAAAGGATAAAAATCGCCCAAATAAATCTCGGCAGAGGGCAAGCCGCAATGCAAAAATGTCTACAGGCAGCTGAACAACAAGGGATCTCAATCCTTCTGGTTCAAGAGCCTTAAATTGGAGCTAAAGCTCATGTAACCTGTAAATATAGTATAATACAAAGAGAAAGTGACAATAAAGAGAAACCAGTGAAATCGGCTGTCATTGTCGTTAACCCAAACTTACAGTGTAGCATAAATCAAAAGACTATAACAGAGAACATAGTAGCATGTAAATTTAGCATAAATAGATTAACCGTAACGTTAGTTAATGTATATCTTGAGGAAGGCGCTGAAATTGAAGAAGATCTACGCAAAGTTACCAGTTTTATCAAAACGCTGAACACCGAACACGTCATACTGGGAGGAGACCTTAACGCCAAGAGTCCCTGGTGGGGCTGCAATGCGGAGGACAGTCTTGGAGCAGCTGTAGCTGAGACTCTAGCACAACTGGATTTACACATCTTAAATGAGGGGCACATACCAACATTCCATGCATGCAGAGGTAACAGAGAATACACCAGTATCATTGATGTCACCGCATGCACATCAAATTTATTAAAGAAAGTTAAAAGCTGGAAAGTAGATCCTGACTTCGTTACTCTATCTGATCACAGAGCAATTACTTTTGAGATTAACACTATAAAAGCAACTGACGAAATACAACTAAGAACCTCAACATGCAAATACAACACTAACAATGCAAACTGGGAAATATTCACAGCAAAATTAAGAAACCAACTTGAATCTTCAAAAATTTCCGAAGAATATATAAATTTTATGAATGCTCCACAACTACTAGAACAATGCGTTAAGACATACAACGAATGCATAGATACCGCTTGTAAGAATGCTATTTCGGAATTATCAAGGAAAATACATAAAAAACACCATGGTGGATACCATAGAGCTAGACACAAAGAAACAAGAAGTAATCAGAAAAAGGAAAAGGATAAAACACGCTAATCCAAGACGGAAAGCCTACGTAATTAAAGAATATATACAGGCTAAAGGCGAATACAAAAATCTTATAAACGATGCCATGACCCAGAGTTGGAAACAATTTTGCACGAGACAAGATAGGGAGAATATGTGGCAAAGCATATATAGGATGATCGGCAAGGACTCTAAAACTAGAGACGACACCCTACTAAGAGCATCATCATCTACAGATATTTTGTCTGCAACGCAATCTGCCGAACTTTTAGCTACAACTTTCTATCCAACAGACGATACTTCAACGGACGATTCCAACCACAAAAAAATAAGAACAAAAGCAGAAAATATAAGAAAAGAACTAACAGAAGGTTTAATATACGATCACATTATACCATATACTGCCACCGAGGTAGAGGTTATATTTAAGAATATGAGTCCGAAAAAATCACCAGGAAGGGACGGGTTTACTGCCGACATATGTTATAAGACCTATTTAGCTGAACCCGTCCTTCTTTTGAAGATATTTAACAAATGCCTCACGCTAGGTTATTTTCTGAAAATCTGGAAAAACGCAGTTATTCGAATCATACCAAAATCAAATAGAGACGATTACACTCTAGCAAAATCCTACCGTCCAATTGGCCTATTACCAATACTCGGGAAAGTACTTGAGAAACTGTTTGTGACCACGTAGCGTAACGTGGCAGATAGGTCAAGAAAAGAAATTGAGTAATCGACAGTATGGGTTTGTTCCTCAGAGAGGGACAGAGGACGCGTTGTACGATGCACTAGAAATTGTCAAAAAATGCGTAAAGAACAAAGAGATGGCGGTAATTGTTTCTATTGATATTGAGGGTGCTTTTGATAACGCCTGGTGGCCTGCAGTGATTGTTGAATTACAACAAAAGAATATTGATAAAGCAACCCTAAAACTTATTGATAGCTACCTCACTGAAAGGTCTATTACACTTAGGTACACCAACACAGAGATCAATAAGAGCACAAATAAGGGTTGCATACAAGGGTCTATCTGTGGACCCCTAATGTGGAACATCCTGCTGGACTCCCTGCTTCAAGAAGCAGAGACTTGGAATGTACATGTCCAAGCTTACGCTGATGATATTATATTAATAGGGACCGGGAAGACAACATCAATTATAGAAAATAAAGTCAATACAGCGCTAAATAGAATATCTATGTGGGGATTTTCCAGAAAAATGAGCTTCGCGGCACATAAAAGCAAGCTATTTTAATTACAAAGAAATATAAATACGAGATGCCTAACTTAAAACTCAATGACACCAAGATTGTATTTAGCGAAAACCTGAAAATTCTCGGTCTAAATATTGACAAAAACTTAAACTTCGTAAAAGATGTAGAAGATACTACAAAAAAAGCAATTAAACTCTATAAAAAGGTTTCAAAAACAGCCAGAGCACAATGGGGACTCAACTCTGAAATTCTGAGGATAATATACATCACTGTAATAGAGCCTACAATGTTATATGCGGCAGCATGTTGGGGAAATAACGCATCGAGAATACAGATACGCAAACGACTTGATGCTATAACGAGAATATTCTGTATCATGATTTGTAAAGCTCACCGGACATGTTCGCTAACTTCCTGTGCCGCATTAGCAAGAATTATCACATTAGACTTAAGAGCTCAAGAAAAACTAGAGATATATGAAATAAAAAGAGGAAAGTCCATTGACCAACTACCGGGGAGAAAGCTTGCTATACCAGTAAGTCCCTTTAGCCTTCCACATCCAACACTCCGTGTCAAAGAGACATACAATTGCATTAGCACAGAAAAGGAAGTGGACACAATAGAAAACAACTGGCCCGCTATCTATACTGACGGCAGTAAAATCTCAGGCAAGGTAGGAGCTGCTGTAAGCTGCTGGGAAGACGGCAAAGAAACCCATAAGGCTAAAATCAAATTAGGTAATCACTGCAGCGTTTACCAGGCGGAACTAGTAGCAATCTTGAAGGCGCTCAGTATCATGAGATGCAAACGTGGATTTAAGAAGTCAAATATATTGAGCGACTCTTTGTCAGCACTGGAAAGCCTGTCAAATCCAAGCACTCTTAATCCTTTGGGAGCTGAAATCCATGATTTTTTTTAAATAGTAAAAATATTAGTAATCTTATTAATGAACATTACTAATATTCCTTTTAACAACTCCTGGAAGCTTGAAAATGCTTGTGTTAGGAGTGGTTCACGACAGTAGTCTAATGGCGGATTCGAACCCACGACCTTTTAAGTTCGCGATCCGCGCCCTGCCATTAGGCTACTGTCGCTTCGACAGAAAATATACAAGAAATCCGAAATAATCAAGGCGATGTGAAGCTTTTCTGGATTAAAGCTCATTGTGGAATTCCAGGGAATGAAAGAGCTGATAAATTAGCGAAATTAGCAGCAGAGACTTCTAAGCAAGCACCAACCTACGACTGCTTCCCTCTCTCCTTTGCAAATCATCAAATCAGGGACAATTTAATAATAAGGTGGCAAGAAAGGTATAGCACATCCAACACAGGAGCTACAACGAGAAGATTTTTCCCTTGTATAAAGGAAGCCTATAAAACCATCTGTAAAATAAAAATAAATAATTTGGTGTCACAAATATTGACAGGCCATGGAGGCTTCAAATCATACCTGTGTAGATTTAAACTGGCACAAAGCCCCTACTGTAGCTGTGATAGTCAAACACCGCAAACAATAGAGCATATCCTTTTGGACTGTCCGAAATTCGCTTATGAGAGACTATCATGCGAGCAAAGTATGGGCTTTGTGTTAAAAGAAGAAACCTTATGTGAAGCTATTAACGGCAATGAGAGTCGATTTCATTTTCTAAAATACGCAATACAAATCACTAAAGTTATTCTCAGAGAAAATAAATCAAAACATATATAAAAGATAATAACGTGGTAAAATGCAATAGTTTAGTTTATATCCATAATGAAATTGAATACACAATGTAATGTCAATTTCAATTAACAGTAAATTAACAAACAAATGGGAAAAATAAACCTTAGAGAAGT